AGGCTTTGTGAGCAAGGGGAGTGGCCCCAGCAGGCAGCTGAGCATACGCAGGCTAGGCAGCCCAGGCAGGCCAGGCAGGGCAGGCATGGCAGGTATGGGTGGGTGGGTGGGTGGGTAGCGTCTGTCTCCTTCCCTCTCTGGATCCCCAAGGCTCAGGGGGCTTCAGGACGTCGAGGCCTCAGCCTTGGTTTTAGTGGGTTGCCCTAATAAATTACTTGACTTGGGATCCAGGCAAAGTTCCAGCCTCCTGTGCCCCTGCCCTGAGCCTGCTGTCCCCTCCCTCCTTCTCAGCCTTGGCCCCTCCTGCCGATCGAAGAGTCATTTTGGATTATTTTGCACAGATGTATGAACTTGTATTTTTCTGAGATGAATCTCATCTGGCTTTCTTCTTTTCCAGCCTCCTGCTTGCAGAGATCGCCAGATCAACACCTTCCCCAGGGCCCTTGGAACCTGTGCTCATCCTGCCCAGGGCCCATGGGCCAAGACTCACCGGGCTCTGGTGCCACCTGACAGTCTCACCCCTCCTCCCGACAGGCTTCCTGCCAGAGGCATTTGGTGAGCAAGCAGTGGTGGCCTGGGCCATCCCTGAGCTGTACTACACACCACTGCGGCCAGGGTGACCAGTGTGCTATGTCTCAGGGCTGCTGAACAAGGGATCACAGACGGGGCTGCTTGGAACAGCAGGAAATTTTTCTCTCCCAGTATCAGAGGCCAGAAGTGAAAAAGCTAGGTGTCAGCAGGGCTGCCCTCCAGGATCCCCAGGGGAGCCCAGCTGGTAGCAGTTCTGGTCCAGTCTTCCATGACCCTCTTCCTTCGGGTCTGCTCAGGCTTTGTGTCTTCCCCTTTTCTTTTCCTTTTGTGGTTTTAGGGATCAAACCCAGGAGTGAGTTACCACTGAGCTACATCCCCAGATCTTTTTTGTTTTGTTTCATTTTTGAGATAGGATCTTACTAGGTTCCCCAAGTTTGGCTGGCCTCAAACTTGTGATCCTCCTGCCTCAGCCTCCCAGAGGGCTAGGATTACAAGTGTGCCCTGTCACACCACGTTAGGCCACTTTAACTTAGGATGATCTTATCTCAAGAATTTTAATTACATCTTCAAAGACTTGTTCCAAATATGGTCACATGAATTTAGGGGGTCACTTTCAACCTGCTACCGTGGGTCCACTCTACCTGGCCTTCTTTGACCCATGTAGACTCGTCAGAGCCTGGCACTTGGGTTTCTGACCGTAGATGTGCCAATGTCAGCACGGCAACTTGCCCAGGGCCTGGCTGCTTCTGTAACAAATACAAATGCTTTAGTTTTGAGAAATTGTGGTGGCCTTTTAAGGAAGATATGTATCTTCGCTTCTGGGTGGGCTCCATGTAAGAACAAGGTGAAAGACTGGAAAACTGGGTTAGGATCCGAGTGGGAAGACAGGGCCGAGGGGGCAGAGGAGCCCTGTGTATTTGCTACCCGGAGAGTTGGCCAGAGAATTGTGCTGAGGGGTGTGTCCTTCAGATGAAGGCTCCATGGGTTTGTCCAGCCAGACCAGGCCCAGCTGTCAGTTCAGGAAGGGGTGGCTGACCAGGGATTATTCCGTTCCTCTTATTGTTTCATTCTCAAGTAAACAGGCCCAGTGCTGTTTATTTGGTTGTTTCTCCATTTACTACTGTTGTCTTTGAACTAAAACTCAGCTATCAGGCAGGGTTTGGTGGCACACATCGGTAATCCCAGTAGTCTAGGAGGCTGAGGCAGCAGGATCCTGCCCCCTCATTTGTAAAACAAAAAGAATGAGGGTCCTGCAAAGGACTGCTGTGCAAATTCAGTGTGGAGGGACAGGCCACGTCAAACCCCTTCCCACCTGGAGACCTGCTGCTTGCTCTTGGCGCTGTGGTCAGGTGTGGCTGGCTGGGCACAGCCCCCAAGACTCGGTGACCTTGAGGATCAGATGCTGCAGCCCAAACCTACCTCCCGGTCCTGGGGGGGAGGGAAGTAGGTACCCCGAAAGATGGTAGTGGAATGGGATGCTCAAGATGGATATGAGACCCATCAAGGAAAAATTAAGTTGTATTTCTGGCGTTGTGAATTTTGGGCTGAATTCATACCCGTGACAAATACAATAATTTCATTTAAGTTTAAAATATTTAGCACAGAATAGGATCAGCAAAATCCAGACCCTGGGAAATTCTAAGAGACAATCAACCTAGGTTCCACAGATACATTTCAGCTGGGCATGCTGGAGCATACCTATAATCGCAGCACTCAGGAGGCTGAGGCAAGAGGAACACTGTGAATACGAGGCCAGCCTGGGTAACTTAGACCCTGTCAAAAAACCACCACCATCACTACCAACTCAAGAACAAAAGAAAGAGGAGTAGAAGGGAAACCTATAGGTTAAAATATATTTAAAAGATAGACCAATCCTACCCCATTGGCTTTATTTGGATCCTGATTCAAACAAATAAACTATTAAAAAATAAAATGTATGGAACAATTAGGAACTGTGTGCACTACCTGAGTGGATATTGGATATTACAGAATCATGGTTGAGGTTTTCTTTTTTCTTTTTTTTTTTTGGTACTGGGGATTGAACTTGGGTCGTTGCTCTTGTGCAGCAGGAGGAGAAACCACTGAGCTAAATCCCTGGCCTGGTTGAGGTTTTCAAGAGAGATAACAGGTGATGAGAGAGAGAGAGAGAGAGAGAGAGAGAGAGAGAGAGAGAGAATATATTTGTGTATTTGTGGTACTGGGGATTGAACCTAGGGGTTTCGCACTGAGCTACTATTTCACCTTTTCAAATTTTTTATTTTGAGATATGGTCTTGCTAAGTTGCTACATCGCCCAGGCTGGACTCAAACTTGCCAGAGAGGATTTTTGTTTGTTTTGTTTAGAAATGCACAATAGCACTGGGTAGAGCAATACTAGTGCACAAGGGGCAGTTGGTTCAATCCCCAGTGAGGCAAAAACAACAAAAAACCCCAAAACCTTTCAGAAGTGTGCAACGAACCATCCTCGGTGACCTCATTTAATATCGGGGTGGAGGAGAGGGTGGGACGCAGGTAGGTTCGAGTATGCTCGCTCCACTTTTGCAGCTGGCTGGAGTTTCCAGTGACAGACTGTCCCCAAGCACATGCGCACGTGCTGGGAGAGCCCAGCCCTTGCCCAGTGCTTTCTGCACTCTCCACGTGTCAACTCTTGAATGCCCTGGAGCTCCTGCCAAGATCGTGACTTCCATGTCCCCAGCTTGCTGGGAGGAGCTGGAAATGCAGTAGGGCAAGGGACCCAGCCAAGCGCACACTGCTGGTGGCCAGCCGCACTGGGTGTGAACCTAAGCCTGGCTCCCTCAGCTTCCTTCAGGTCTGCACACTTGATTTTGTGACAAACTGACAGGTGTTCTTGCTGGGAGGTTGGACAGCTGGAATTTAATAAAGCTTATCGAAAGAGTTTCGCTATCTGGCCTTTTGTATTTTCTAATTTTTGCACAGTGAGCACAGAGCACTTGTGTAATACAGGTCACTTAAAAGTGAAGTGTATTCAATGGAGCTGCAGCCAGCAGTGACCAGCTGAGCCCATGTACCCGCTGGCTTGAGGGGCAGCTGAGCACGACAGTAGCTGAGACGGGTGGAGACATTGCTTGGGCCCTGTAGCTCAGGGAGAGGGAGGGCAGTGGCCTCTCTGGGGCTCCTTGTCACCACCCTGCTCCCTGTCAGGGAAGCTCTGTGCCCATGGGCTACCAGGGCCCCAGGCTGTGGGTGTGCAGCATGGAGGTCCCACATGACAAGCCCGTTCTGGGCCACCCCAGCTCACATCCCTTCTCCCATCACGCCTCATCCCACTCCCCGTTTCCAGCAGGAAGTCCATGGCAGTCCCCAGGGCTGTGGTTGGCTGACTTCTCCTTACACAGGAGGTCCAGGGTGAGGCAGTGGCAGAGCAAGGCCCATTGACTGGGTGGCCAGGTGGAGGACCACTGCCTGGGCTGAGTAGGTAGAGACCTTGAGTGTGACAACCTCTTCCACAAGCCTGACTGTTGGAGGTCAGAGAGACTGGGCAGCTACAGTTCTAGCACTGAAAATGCTGGCCCTGGGCCGGGCCTATGAGTGTTTGCTGACTGGGCCAGAGATCTTCCAGGAAAACGTATGCCCTGGCTCTCACTGCCCGCCGGGAGTACCCCATCATGTTAGCAGGCCACACCACACAAGGGCTCTTTTAGGTCCCCAAGGGTGATTTTCAGCTTCTCAGGTTGGCAGAGGACCAAGTCTGACTTCCTCAGCCTTCGCCAGGTGTTGGTCAGTGAGATAGTGAGTGTGTAGCTCAGCGACAAGCGGGGCCTGGGCTGTAGGGTGAGGGTGGCCACGGTGGGCTGCAGGAATCCGGTTCAGGCTCACTCTAGGGCCTCCCTAGGGAGGAGGACGACTAGGGATGGAGCCTCTTTGTTGCCTCCCAGTCAAGAGTTCTTCAGCTTAGTTGATGTATAAATCATGAATCAAAGTCCAGCTCTGCTGGTGGCCATCAGCCCTTAGCAATACCAGTCTGGGCCCTGATGCAGTCAGTCCGCACCAGTTAATGCTGGGAGATGCCCACTTTGCCTATCTTCCTGGGCTGAGGCCTCTGGAATTCTTCAAGGCTAATAGCCTATAGCATTTATAGCTCTTTTTAAAAAGCAACTGCGGTATCCAAACCACTTAGGACAAGAATCTTGAGTAGATTTACAGGACCTGCCAAGCCCACACCACTTAAGAAATAAGGGAGAGTTCAACAGACCACAGTGAGCCCTCTTAGACCAACCTGAGAAGTAAAGGGTGGTGTTGCTTATACAGCAGCCCCAGGCCTGTGATTGGCCCAAATTCAAACCTGCCAGTTGTTCTGAATTTGGTCTAAACCCAAGCCTTCTGATCTGAGTCTACTGATTGGGCCAAATTCAATTCAAGCTTGGTTCCAATTCAAGCTTGCTTTCTCCAGGGCAGACACCACCCTGAGCGGGTGCAGGAGTTCAGGATAGTCACAGCTGTCATGGCGGCAGTCGGGGGACACTGGTAGATGTGATGTTTGACAGATGGCTGCCACATCTCTTCAAAGAGTGGTGGCTGAAACCAGGGAGTCTCCAGGAAGGCTGGCTGTGGTAATCACAACTTACTGGGGCTTGGGGAGGTCAGGGATGTTTCTCCCTGACCTGGGTTCCTCCCTGATTCCTGCCACATTAGGAGTGGTTTCCTGGTGCTGTGTTATTGGGACCACAAGGTCAATCAATGGGACTTCCTCCTTGGGGGACATGGGGAGAGCCCAACCCCTCTGCCACAACCTGCAGCAAATGAGGGTTCGAGGAGAGACCAGGATCAAGCAGATGTGCAAACTGTGTTGAGCAAGCAGGAGAGAGACCACTCCCAGGCCTGTGGGAGGCAGCAGCCTGGGGAGCTGCAGCCTAGACTCTTGGGTCCTTATGGAAACTGTGGCTGAACCTTGCCAGAAGTTAGAAGGGGCCTAGGCTGGAGATAGAGACTTAGAGGCCAGCAGGTGGCCCTCTGTGTAGCAAGGGCACAAGGAGGACCAGAGGGGTGATGGCATCCCTGGGACCCCCACCCCAGGAGTGAGCTGGGGCAGCCCTAACCCTAACCCTGTCAAAGGGCAAGGGAGTGGCAGGCCAAGGCCCATGGGCTGGGTGGCTAGGTGCAGGACCAGCTGCCTGGGCTCAGAAGGTAGAGACCTTGAGTGTGACAACTTCTTCCACAAGCCTGGCTGTTGGAGGTCAGAGGGACTGGGCAGCTATAGTTCTAGCACTGAAAACGCCCCGCATGGAGCTGCTTCTCCTCTTGCTGTCCTTGGCTGGCTTCTTGCTGCGTCTGCAGTCAATAGGCAGCCTCACCTGCACCCTGCTTGCAAAGCCTGAAGTGCTCATGCCACGGTGGATTGCTTATTCTTACACGTTCCTGGGGTTTCAGCTTTTACATCTTCCTCTACCTTTCCTCCATACCTTCCTAAGATTTTAGTAATCTTACCAGACACAAAAGCAAAAAGAGTGCCGTGTACAGCAAAGGCTATTAATTATTCTGCTGTTTGTGTTATCTCCTTTAGTGACAGAACAGCTGATATCCAAACAAGGCTGTACTTCCCAGCTTCTTTTGTGGCTGAGCGTGTTCACGACAGAGTTGTGGCCAAGGCCAATGGGACACACATGGAGTTTTGTATGAGGTAAAGTGTTTTCGTTTTTTTTCTGGTACCAGGGATCAACCTCAGGACCTTGCGCTTGCCAGGCAGGTGCGGTGCCCTGAGCTAAATCCCCAGCCCGCTTTTGTTTTTTGAGACAAGGTCTGGATGTGTAATTCAGGCTGGCCTCTAGCTCACATGATCTTCCTGCCTCAGGCTTCCAAGGCTGGATTACAGGTATGCACCACCACACTAGGCTTAATTATCTTTAAAACATAAACATAAAAACATAAAGAAAACAGCTGGCCAAGGTGGTGCACACTTGTAATCCTGGGACTCTGGGAGGCTGAGGCAGGAGGATCCCAAGTTTAAGCCCAGCCTAGGAAACTTAGAGACTTAGTGAGACCCTATCTCACAATAAAAAATAAAGAGTTGAAGATGTAGTACCCTCTTATCTCCAAAATAAAACCCTTTATTTCCCTTTATCAGAGACTATTTTTCAGGCACAAGTGTCTAGATTTGTCTCCATGAATCCTTGCACCATGTTTACAAGGTTTGATAGTGTCATTATTAAGAGAGAAACTGAGGCTCAGAGAGAAAGCACACTGAGTATAGACAGGGTATTCAAGGCATGGTACTCTGAGGCCGCAGCTGATTGCTAAAACCACTGGACACTAAGATGTTCACTCTCTGACCTAAGGATTGCAGATTCTTTTCCAATGTTTTGGTTGTGTTTAAATTTCATTTCCAGTGTATTTTGTTATGCAGAAGGCGAAAATTTCTATGCAACCAAGAACATAAACATGGACTCATATTTTCTTTCAATATGTTCATAGTTTTCTTTTCTAACATGGAGATCTTTAGTTTGGCTGGAGTTGATTTGGATGAAGATGTAGGGTGCGGTCAAACATGAGTTTTGTCCTGGAGCCCATGATGAGCGATGCCTCCTCCTCTCTGAACGCTGGCTGATTGTTACACAGAGTTGTCACATGCCCTCTTCCCAGATCTTCGGGCTGCAGAATTACTCATCAGCGCTGGAAGCCTGCCCCCGCCATGCTGTGGTGACCCTCATCCCAGCGAGGCTCCCTCAGCTGGGCAGCCGTCTGCCCTGCGGTGAGGGGAAGGAATTCAGCGTGAACTCTGCTCACTCAGCAGCCAGCCTCAAGGAGCTTGGGCTGTGGAAAATCACATGTGTTTTTCGAGTTGTTGGAAACCAAGGAAATTGCTCCTCCAGTTGTGAAGTTGGCCAGAACACTGCCTGGAAGACCCCAGGTACCCACAGCTTGAGGAACCGCCCCTCCACATGGGCTTGAGTAGGTGAGCCACTGGTGACATCAGAGCGTCTGGGCTATAGAGAAGGGGATGTTGCTGTCTGGTCACCTCTTTGGCTCCAGAGCCCCTGAGAACAGGGACCCCAGGGCCCTGGTAAGTCTGTGTCTGCTGACCAAAGCTTCCTGGGCTGTCTGTCCAGCTCCAAGATACCCCCAAATGCATGCCCTGGTGCTGGACAGCGGAGTGGGGAGTGAGTTCATACAAGACTGGCTGCTGGGCCATCTGCACACAAGGGTTCACTCTGCAGCAGCCTGACCTTGTGTGTCTCAGCTGCTGCCACAAAGGCCCGAGAGGGCTCAGGATCTGGGGTGGGTTGGAAGGGACCACTCCTGGCCCCAGGCCCTGGCAGCCTCCTGACCCCATATTCTGCGGCCCCCTGGGTGGGGCCTGCTGGCACCAGAGTGTGTCTCTGGCCAGGCTGGGCCTCAGTGGGAGGGAGGCTGGCCCATCTTCCTGATGTGCTGTGGCTGCCCCATTGCTTAATGGCCAGAGCAGCGGAGCCCATGTGGAAGTAGGTTCCATTCAGACCCATGGTCTTAGCTTGGACCTTCTCTGTCACTTACATGCTGTGGCCCAAGCAAGTCATTTTTCCCTGAGCTTCAGTTTCCACCCTCAGAAAACCTGGAAACACACACTTAGCCAGCACTAATTCAGGGCACTCCATACCACTCAAGTGCCCTAAGGGTTCAGGGGTGGAATCCGCCTGGCCAGGCCTCCCCCTTCCCCTTCCTTCCAGAGTCCAGGGCCTGTGTCTCTGCCCTGGTGTCTGGGGCTCCAGGTGCTTCCTGTGTCCCCCAACCCCTTCCTGCCTCAGCTTTTCAAGGGAAGTTTTCTCCTCTTGACAGCTGGACCTCTGGGTCACATCCAGGCGACACCTTGTTAAAATCTCCATAGATGTTGCTGAGTGAACCAAAGTCACAGATAGCTGCCTTTCAGGTGAGTGCAAGTGGCTGCTGAACACAAGGTGACCAGGCTCTGCCACAGGGCGTCAGGGTGGGTCTGGTGGTTGAGGAAGGGGTGATGTTCTGCTCTGCCCACCCCACAGACCTGTGCACACAGCCAGAGACGCGGAGGAAATGGCGATGACCAGGAGTCGTCTTCATGGGCTCAGGAGGCTGAGATATGTGTCAGGCACAGAGCGTATCAGATGGATTTTTGCTGAGACCTTTAGATGCGCCCTGTCCCCTGAGGGAGCTGTAGCTCAGGATGGGCTCAGAAGAACATCTTCCAAGAGAGGCCACTCAGGACCTGGGTCCTGCTCGAGACCACATTCCCTGGCCATGGAGAGTGAGTGGGGGCAGTAGGAAGCTGTGGGGTCACCATGCAGATTTGGCAGAACTCTGAGGTCTGGAGGAAAGGAGATGGGGCAGGGTTACCAGCAAGCCGGAGCAGGATTGTTTCTCACATCTCCCAGGCTGGCATTGCCTCAAGGTCTGAACTGTGTCCTCTGCAAAGACAGATGCTAACTGGAACCTTGCTTGTAGGTAGGGTGGGTCCAAATGAGCAGACCCTTCCTCTCTGTGGCCTCTGAGCCACCCCTGCTATCCCACCTGAAGGAGCAAAGACGTCATTCAAAGTCACAGCCTGCTGCCTGGCTGCAGAACCATGGCAGGAAGCAGGGCTGGCTTCCTCGGCCCCTTCCACCCCCAGCCCAGCATCTCCCAGCAGGAATGGGCCAAGCTCGGTCTGGAGTGAAGCTTCGCTTTCTCATCCTGTGCACAGAATCTCCCTCCCGAGGCCTGGTCCCAGGATTGGCCTCTTGTAGCAGGAAGATGGGTGGGGTGTCCTTTCTTCTAGGGAGAGAGGTGTTAGGGCAAGGGACAAAGAGGCCCTGGTGTCCCATATGACAGTGGTGTCAAGATGCCCTGTCCTTCCCCTCAGCCTGCTGGGTCTGCTCAGGCTTCCCCAGGCAGGCAGCTCCCCTGCCAGGACAGGGCTCTTCCTCCTGGTCCTCTCCCCTTGTTTCCTCATCTTTCTTGTCAGCTTCAGGCCTCCACCCTCAGATGTCTCTGCTCCCCAAGAACTCTCCCTGCACCTCGCAGGAGCAAGGTGGGCTAGCCCAGACCCTTGGGTAGTCCCTGCCACATACACCAAGGAAGCTGGAGGAAGGTGGGGTAGGGGCTGTCATACCCCTGGGGTAGCTCAGATAGCACCTGGATGTGGACATAAACGTCCTGCAAGTGGCAGGGACCAGGACCCAAGTGTTCCCAACTGGCCTTGGCTGTGCCCCTGGGGAGTTTGGCCCTGATCCTGTGCCCCTCGAAGAGGAGGAACCATGACAAGCCCTGTGGTTGCTCCCACCCCAGTAGAGTCCTGGGCTGGGGACAAAAGGGCTCCTGGATGCAGCTTCAGGCTGAGCAGGGTCCCAGCCCCTTGGAGGTGGAGTCCTTGGCCCTCCTAGGCCCAGGTCCCCACCAGGGGCTCTGCTCATGTTCCTGTTGGTGATTCACTGCAGCTCAGGACCGCAGGTCCTTTTTTTGTTCTCTTAACAGCTTCTGTTTTCCCTGGCAGAAGACTCAGGGCCCAAATCCAACCTGTGTGTGAGCCATTCCCAGGGAAGTGACGTCCCATGGCCCCCTACCAAGAGTCGCCTCCAGCATGACACACTCAAGCCGGGACAGCAGAGCGAATTCCCAGAACCAGCTCTGGGCGTGATGATTCAGCCTTTGGAGGGGTCGGTGGTGCAAGACAGCTTCCTTCATCCTCACTGCCACCAGGACCAGGCTGGGCCAGCGGGCAGGCAGGCAAAGTCTGGCTGCCGGGGGCTGCTCTGAGCCGGGGGGACAGAAGGAGACAGTCCCCCGACTCGAGGTCTCCGAGGGAAACAATGAGAGCCCAGGGCCCATGGGGTGTGAGAGGGAACATGTGGCCTGATTCCACTTGATCAGCACACAGTAGTTCCACTGAAGTCAGTCAATGAGATTAGAGGGCCACAGCCAGGATTCACACCAGGGGCCAGCTCCGGGCACAGTGCTGGGCAGGCCTTGGAGGGTCCTTCCACCCGGGTGCAGGGGTGGGGGAGCCCAGGTCCCAGGCCAAGTGCTCCCTGACCACTTCTCTCTCAGCTCTCCCTGTGTGGTCACCTGAGAGCTCTGGGGTCACTAGCCAGCTCCATCACAGACGACCTTGGGGTAGGGCCGCTGACCTTGACCATGATGGATCCTTCTGTGTGGCTCCTGGGTTCATGTGATGGCTGGAGCTACTCTTGAAAACAGGTTTCTAAAAATGAGTACGAGGTCTGGGATGTAGCTCAGTGGTAGAGGACTTGCCTGGTATGGACAAGGTCCTGAGTTCGATGCCCAGCACTGCAAGAAAAAAAAAAGTGGTGGTGGCAGTATTCCGGCGAGGGGAAGGAGGGAAGTAGGTATTTGTCCAGTGGGAACCTGGGGGTGACAGACTGCAGAAGGGAACAGGGGAGGGCGCCCAGGTGCCCAGACTGAAGGACGCGGCAGGTGGAAGTTCGCAGAGCCCACCGGCCAGGGCTGCAGAGGGTGGGAAGGACGGGGCGGCCAGCAGCCTCAAGGCGCTGAGTCCCCAGACCTGGACCCGGGGTCCTCTCCCAGGCGCTCTGCGCCCCCAGTCGCTCCCGCCCCAGACTTTCGGTCCTGGGCGCAGAGGCGGCTCGCAGTTCTGCATTTCGCGCTCTGGGACGCGCCAGGAGGCCGCGCCGGACCGCCCCGTCCCCCGCAGCCCCTCCGTGTACGCCGGCTCCTCCTCCTCCTCCTCCTCCTCCTCCTCGGGGTGGGGAGGTTGCTCCGGAAGCCCCGGCGCCCCCGCCCCGGCCGCTCACCCTGGAGAGGGCGGACCGCGCCACGCGGGGCAGGAGCGCACGGCTGCCGCCTCGGGGCCCCAGCCTCTCTGCGGAACCCCGGCCTCTCCCCCGACCCCTGGGGCCATGGCGGGCGGGCGCATGGCGCCCCTGCTCGGCGGCCTATTGGTGCTCCTGGCGCTCTGCCCCGGGGGGCGCCCGCAGACCGTGCTCACCGATGACGAGATCGAGGAGTTCCTCGAGGGCTTCCTGTCGGAGCTGCAGCCCGAGCGCCGCGAGGACGACGTGGAGGCCCCGGCGCCCCCCCAGCGCGCGCGCCCTGCCCCGGAGGGGGGTCAGGCGGGGGCAGCCGAGGAAGGTGAGTGGGGGTGGGGTGGGGGAAGTGAGCCCCCCCCCCCGTGGGGACCTCGAGGTGAGACTGGGGTGGGTCCAGGAAGGGGAGACCCGGGGACTGGGGGAGGGGTGGTGAGAGGGGGCACAGAAGTTGAGAACTCGGGGGACTCTGCAGGGCCCCCCTCACTTCTCCCCGCCCGGCTCCCCACTGGGAGGAACTGCGGGACACTGGCCAGGAGGGCACATTCAGCACCCAGCCGCATGCCACTTTTGGGGTGGCTGGATGCGGTTGTCTGGTTGCTGGTCCCCAGGCTCCCAGTGGGTCCGGGCCTGGGCCAAGAGGATGATGCTGTCACAGGGCCCCCAACCAAGGAGCACACAGGCCCTGGTGGGGGCGTGCAGGAGACCTCTGGCCCAGCTTCCAGGGGTTAGGAGAATCAGTGAGGTGATGCACGGCCAAAGCATGTAACCCAGGCTCTTACGTAATCTGCCTCAATAAATCTTTGCTGTTTATCATGGCCCTCTGGAGGGTGGCAAAGGATCTTATGATCTCTCTCCCAGGAGACGCTGAGGCACTTAAATTGCTGCTCCGCTTCCCACCCCCTGGACCCCAGATGTAGCTTTT